CCAACTTGTTTTATCCCATTAAGTCATGAGCTGTTTTAGGGCAAAGACTTTTATTTGCCTTTCTTTGAATCTCTAGCACTTAGCTCAATGCCTGGCATTGTAGGTGCTTAATAAATGCTTATCAACTGAATATGCTTATTCTATTGTCATCTGTGAAAGGGTCACATCTGCACTTTAATAAGGAAGATGAATTCATGAATATCATAATGTTGGACCTGATCAAAGAAGTCCATGCTGGAGGCAATATAATTGTAATAGTATCTAGGCACTGATTTTCAAAACATTTCAAAGAGAGAAGGATTCCAAAAGAATGGTAAAGCTCATACATGGTACTTTTAACAAGCAGAGAGTACCAAGAAGATATCGCAATCTATTGGTCTTATGTTCTAATTTCTATAAAAACTTTTATAAAAATTATGCATGCATATTTTGAGGGTATCATTAATGAAAACAGAGGAAGAGAATAGGGAGTCTTTTTCTATGACAGAATACACCTTCCACAGTCTGAAAATATGAAGAATATAATATTCCACTCTGTCTACTGTTTGCTTAGTTTTTAAATCATTTGATTCATAGAACTTTTTCCAAAAATGGATTCCTATGTTAAGAATATGCCACATCCATAATAGATATAATCACTGAAACTCAATGATATGCTGAATCTAAGTATTAAGGGAAGTATAAAACAGAGACATATATGCTCACCTAAGATGTTCATCAGTGTCATAAAAAATGTGTTAAACCAAGTGAAATTAAAAGGAATTTCCAAGGGATGATTTTTCAAATGCTCCTATTCACAAATAATATTGTTCTGTTTATATTGGCCTGAAAAAGAAATTGGCCAACCTCTGACACTGGAAGGATGAAGTGGATGGAAATGTACATCATCTTAATTTGGGACATGTATGAGACATGGGCGGGCACTTTTTTTCCTCCAGTGTGGATACATTGCTCTGCACCTGGGCAATGAAATAGTTCCAGAAATGAATATGAGACTGGGTTGGATCGTGTTTGGGAAATTTTACACTATTTCTAGTGATCCCAAGCTCCTACTTCCTACAAAGACCCGAATTTAAGTAGTATTAATATTCTCCTAATGTTTGATAGGTTGTTGAAGCCAAATAATTCATCATCTAGTATGCAGGCTACTCAAAATGAGTTCTCTGCACTTAGTAGATTGATCCTTGGAAAATAATCAGTCTATCACTGTTGGGACCATGTGGAAATCCCTTCCAACATGGTAGGACCTGCCACCACTTGTGGTCTATTCACATGACCTTCAAAAACCCAATGTCATCTCTACTCCATGTTGAAGCATCAGAACAGCTATTTGTGGAGAGGAGGGGAAAAAAAACCTTAGGGATGGAGAATGCCTTTATGTAGATTTTGATAAGCCATTGGATGGACATGCCAGGACATTGCTCACTGGGGTGAACCACATATGGAGGATGACCTGGACAAAGGTCTCACAGGTTGAGAAAGTACGTATGGGTTATAATGTAAACCACCGGAGGGAGTATGAACATCAGTGAGATCACATCCATCAAAGTATCCCTCTAGAGATATTTTATGTTGAATTAAGAAACATTTCATGTAAGTAGAATCAAAGTTACAGATAACCCAAAGGATATTGGAAAGACATATTTTATTCCACCCTTTTCCTCCTAGTTCTAAGACTCAATTCCTGAAAAGGTCAGTCAGTCTCTGAAGAGCATGGCTGAGTTATGAGATTCCTCTTAATCCCTCAGGCACATGCTCCTTAACTAGATTGGATGGGACCCCACTCAACTGGGAAACCTAGTTCCTGTTTGGAGTATAAACAGAATCCAGTCTGGGCAAGCTTTTTCAAAGGGAGGAACCTCCTCTCCTTGATACTGTCCATTAAAGTTTAGGGCAACCCAGCTCACAAAGGAGAAAACTAGCTGAAGAAGTCCAGATAGAGATGGCTTCCCCTGCCCAGATGCCCTGAGGCTGCTGAGTCTCACGATCAAACCACATTCTCAGTAAGAGGAAATAAAGACTTTTAGACCACCATCTCATTAAGTGTCCACCAATCAGGGTTGAATTTCACTTGTCAAGGAAGTTCCTTCTCAGAAAGTACACATTTGATTTAAGCCATTTCAGAGTCTCCCTTATCTTTGGTTGCTGAGAGAAACTACTGACTATCAACTTATTGATTATTAGCTAGTCTAATTAAGAAATTATTTATTAATTACCTGGAAACTGTCTTTCAGGGGTTTTATTCATAATACTATTATGAAAAGACATGGATAAAAATTATTTAGGATCAAATGGTATGGAAGTGTTGCTAACCTGATCTTAAACTGGCCTCTGTCACCTCCTAGTATAGCCCAATTGAGAGGAAGACCTGAGCCACTGACTGAGAAGGATGACTGAGGAGAGATGGAACTTCATGGCCACTGGCTAAGGAGAAGCTTCCTAATCACAGCACCACAATGTATGGAGTCCTCACTTGAGAACTACAGCTGAGGCAGAGAAGACTGAAAGAGCTGTAGATCTCCTCTAAAAGGATTGCTTCTGGTGAATTGTGGAGGTAGCTGAAAAACAAAGTCTTGTTGAACAGGGTGTTAGAAATTCTTAGATGGAAGAGCAGTTGAAACAAAATGCCTGAAGGGGAACAGGAATACATGCTGGTGGAGAACAGCTGAGCCACGTTGCCCCCAGGGAGTGGTTGATATGTGAAACTTGACTAGGATTAGCAAAGAGAGGTCCAGAGAAGGCAGCATGATAATATAAATAAAAGATGCCACCAACAGCTTTGTAGTGTTGGAGGTATGAGTTGCCCCTCCAACTCAAGTGCCCCAGTTATCCATTTTCTATAAATGTGGGTGCCCCACATGTGTTCCCTATTGGAGGTGCATGCTTCAACTAATTGTTTCTGCAGTTGTGGGAGAATGAATTCAAGTTTTATAGGGGTCATGTTCTGTGGTTATTGTCCTATTTCATTAAATGCCTTTGTTGTGAACTGCATGTCTTCTGGCTGACTAGTAAAAATAAATACCTAAGTAGGGGCTTGTGAACTATAAAGAAGATTCTGACCCACAAAAAAATCAAGAACCTGGGGGTAGTTAACTGAGGGTCTAATCTCTGTAGATTTGTTTGTGTGTGTACATATGCACGTGTGTAAAATAGTGTTTATATATTGCTTTAAGGTTTGCAAAATACCTTACATATATTATCTCATTTTATCCTCACAATAGCCAAGGGGGATAGGTGCAATTATTATCCCCATTTTATAGATGAGGAAACTGGGGTAAACAGAGGTTAATTAACTCGCCCAGGGTCATAAAACTAATAAGTGTCTGAGGACAGATTTCAATTCTGGTCTTATTGACTCCAGGTCCAGTGCCCCATCCACTGCACCCCCTAGAGAAAATATAAGTATGAGAGGCAGGCTGACATGGTGTATTGAGAGCTGACTTTGGATCCAAGAAGACTTGGATTCAAGTCCTACCCTTGATACATTCTCATTGTGTGACTCTGAGCAAGTCAATTAATTCTTAAGTGCCCTAGAAAATTTTCTAAGAAGTTGCGAAGTTGCTAAGAAGAGAAGGTAATGACCTGCACCAGTACAGGGAGTTTCATTATCTGGGAATTTCACATACAGTTGAAATTAGAGGTCCAGCCCCTGGTCCCGAAAATAAGTATAGTAAGTATACATATATGTGTATGTATATGTTTGTATACATATACACACAAATATTATACATACAGACACAGATGCAGATATAATGGTTATATTATATAAAAATATGTATTTGTACAGCTAAAAACATATCTGTTCTTATGGGTTTTTTTCTCTTCTATCATTCTCCTCTAAAGGTCTTTTACAAAGCCTCGTTCTTAGCATGGAACTGACCTTGGGTTATCAGAGACTATATCCCCTGGTATCAGAGAATAACAAAAATTGTCAGGTTCTAACAAGTTTAAAAAGACTTTTAAATTCATAACCCCAGTGACAGATTATGTGTATAATATTTGAATATCAGTCTTGCCCAGGTTGGAGACATTCATCACCAAAGGGTTAACCATGAGGTGACAACATTTTCTTAGCCATAGCAACTCATGAAGTTGCTGAAGTCTGGAGGGAACATCTACACTGATGAAATCATAAATCTTAGAACTATGGAATATCAGTTTATGTATCTTATTTCCATTTGATTCTGTGTGTGCCCCACCATCCCATTCCTCTCCCCATTAGACTGCCTTTCAAGGCCAGAGACAGTGCCTTATTCTTCATTTTCAGAACCTTATATCTCCTAGAATAGCTGTCTGCACTGAGCCAGGGCTAAATCCAATCTTATTGTCTGCCTGACCGACTGACAAAGCTTTCTCACTTGTGGAACTATGTTTTCTCCCTTCCTTTTTCCTGACCAAAGACTGTTTACTGTAGACCTTCAAAGCACCAAAGAGAACTATAGATCATAACAAAATGATCAGTGAGAAAACCTGTAGGCTGGATTGGAAAACTTCTATCCAGTGGGGCAGGGTGACCCACCTTGATTCTAGACCAGTGGGTGGCTTTTCCTATGGGAGGGAAATGGAACTTTTGGGAATGAGGCTAGCAGGGATTGGTGACATACTACATGCGGTCATTGGACTATCTCTAGCCTGAGCCTTGAAGATGGTGTAAGCAAACGTGGGCTTGGCCTTGCTTCTTGGAGAAATAGGAATATGATTGATATAAATGGTTCCCAGGGTCAGCCAGGTGGGATGTGAGAGACTTAAGGCTATAATCCATACCACAGGTTTAAAAATCTTCTGGAACCAGAGCTAGGTCTGAAAAGGCCATTGTCCTTTACCTACCATCTCAGGAAAGGACTACTGCCACTTAGTGGGGGGACTGGGTGCTTGACCACATCACCATACCCCTATAGCCAGCTGAAGGCGAAAGGCCATCATTTACATGTAAATGACAGAACCAAATCAGGGGCACCCACTGCTTCCACGTTTCCAGGGGACAGTCTGAGTTGCCTTACTGTTGTCCAAGTGGTTGGCCTTGATAATTTTCTCTGAGTAGTCAGAAATACTGGAGCATTCGATCTAAAAGGAGAGTGGGACAAAGGAGAGAGGTGTTAGATGAACTGCAGAGTGTTAGAGCTGGGAGGGAGCTCATGGCTCATCTTGTACAATCCCCTCATTTTACAGATGAGGAAGTGAAGCTGAGACTGGGGAGGGAAAATGATTTCTCTAACACCACGGCAAACTACTAGTAGGACTAGAAAGTAAGTCTTCAGATGACCTGTGCACTTTTCCCTTTAGTGCATGGCCTCAGGCTCTAATAGTAGTAATGGCTCATTTCCCATTTCCACCGCTACCCAGCTGGGTGTTCAGACAATAGTCTGAGCAATAGAATCACACTGCATTCAAGGCCTGGGTCCGCACCTATAGTCCCATTAAGCAAACTCTTATCTAGGTCTTAAATGTGGCCAATCCAGGGATATGGAAACATTGCTACGTTCCAACAACTAGGATCTAAAACCCACCAATCTTTTGTATTCTATAAGGCTGCCGCATGATACCCTCACCCCATTTCTGTTTGCCTATCTCTCTCCCTGCTTCTCTCTGACTGTCTCTGCATCTTTCTATATCCCCCTCTGTGTCTTTATCTCTGTCTGTCTGTCTCTCTGTCTCCATCTCTGTCTCTGCTTCTCTGCCTATCTCTCTGTTTCTTTCTCTGTCTCTCTGCCTCCCTATTTTTAATCTACGCATCTTTCCTTTTCCTTATCATCTCACCTCTGAAGAGACTCTGATTAGCAGGAAAAGGGGAAGGTATATAGAATGTCCAATTGACCAACTTAAAATTCATTAACCAACTTTAAGAAGGAATGTACAGAAAATGGAAGGAAGGGCAAGTAACTTAGAATGAATGCAGAAGTACAGTAAGGACTTGCAAGAAAATAGTGCCTAAATCCAAGAATGAAAAGAGATTGGTAATGCTAAGGACAACAGAAAAGGTGTTTTGTTTTGTTTTGTTTTGTTCTCAAGTTATGCAGGATAATAGTGATGGTGACTGACAAGGAAGAACTAAGCAGTGTGTGTGAGTCACAAAGAGATAAATTTAGGCTTTATATAAGAAAAAACTTCCTAAAGGACTTTCCAAAAATGGGATGGACGAAGGATCTCCCTCTCACTGGAGGTCTTCAAGCGAAGTCTGAATGACCCTTTGCTGGAGATGTGGTAGAGATTTTTTTTCAGGTACTGGTTGGACTAGATGCCACTGAGATCCCTTCTAGCTCTGAAATTCTTTCTTCTTCTTCTCTCCTTCCCTTCCTTTTTTCTTCTTTCCTTCTAACCATATAAAAAGTTCTCAAAGTTTTTGGTCTTCTGATCCCTTTACTCTCTTTTTTTTTGGGGGGGGGCTAGACAAAGGGGTGAAGTAACTTGCCCAGGGTCACACAGCTAGTGAGTGTTTTGTGTCTGAGGTTGGTCCTCCTGAATCCAGGGCCAGTGCTCTATCCACTGCACCACCTAGCTGTCCCAACCCCTTTACATTCTTGTAAATTACTAATGACCTCAAAGAGCTTTAGCTTATGTAGGTTATATTTAGTTGTATGCTGAAACCAGCTGGAACTGATTGTTAAATTTTCAGTGTGAGCATTTATACATACCTCAGACATCAGTAAAAGCTATAAATCAGGGCTTGATTTATTGTGTTATTGATTGTCTAGATTAGTGGTGTCAAACTCAAGTAGAAACAGGCCACTAAACCATAAATAAGGATGCCTTCTGCTGAATATTGACTTAAATAACCATACATTAATATCGTCCATGTTCTATTATATTCTTATTTATATTGTTAAATATTTTCCAGTTACATTTTAAATCCAGTTTAGGTTGCACTGAAGTGTAGGGCAGGTGTTGTGGTACAAGTGTTTGCCTCTTCTGGTCTAGAAAGTGATGAATATTAATAATGCAGATTAAAACTGTGTTGTGCAAATGTTTTTTTTCTGGTGAGCTGGTTGTTAAACATTTACCAGCATACCCTTGGTTATATCTATCAATATATGCTGTATTAGAAATTAGAAGTGATAATCTTTTAAAAATATCTATTTATTAATTCATTTTAAAATAAAAAATAAACCTATTACATGTTAACATAAATATTTACGAAAAATAACCATGTTTTCCAAAGCAAAAAAAAAATTAGTCAGAAAAGTAGTATTGTTTTACATATTTTTGCAGACCTCCTTAATGTCTAGCTTAATAAAAGACAGCTGGATTCTCCTAACTGCTTCTTCATTCAATCTGTTGTGATATATTGTTTGAGTTGAAGTAGTCAAAGAAATCCTGCTTCACACATGAAATTGAAAATGGGTGGAGTATTTTAAAAGGCAAATAATGTCTTAGCATTATTGTGAAAATAGTTTTGACCTTGTGGACTCCCTGAAAGGGTTTCAGGGATGCTTTACTTTCTATTGACCACACTTTGAGAACCATTGAATAAATGATTTGTAAAGTATCTATGAGTTTCTTTGTCTGGTCTCCTTTTAGCCATTTCTCTCTCTTTGCCTCTGTCCGTCTCTCTCTCTCTCTCTCTCTCTCTCTCTCCTCTCTCTCTCTCTCTCTCTCTCTCTCTCCTCTTTCTTTCTTTATGCCTCTGCCTTTTTCAGTTTCTCTTTTTTCTCCACTTGGTTTCACCCTACCTCAGTCAGTATCACAACTTGTTTTTGTTCCTTTTTCTTTCTCTATCTCTGCCTCCTTTCCTCTCCCTCTCTTCTACAGTATGGAGGATCCAAGAATCGAGCAGTGAAGGCACACTTCCTGCCCTTCCTTGGGCACAGTCATCTTAGGAGTTCTAACCTAAGAGCAGTAGAGCAGCCCCTACACTACTGTGTTCCAGCTGTGTGAGGCTATTCCAGCTATGTGTGGCTTTTTTTTTCTTTTCAGCGATCTGTTTCCCTTCTGCTCTTTTTTTTTTTAATAATAGCTTTTCAGATAAACAGCTCCATCATATTTAGCTGGTTTCCCTTAGGGTTGGCTCATTTCACAGCTCCCCCTGTTCCATGCTCTCCCTCCCACCAACTGCTATAGAATCACAGAACAACATGCAACCCAGAGGTCAGTAAGAAGGGAGATCAGAAGCCATCTAGTCCAAGCAATCCCTAAAAAGGAATTCCTCATATAAATTCCCCCTGAAGGAGTCCTCTAGCTATCCCTGCTAATACCAAAGGCTGCCCATTCCACTTTTTGTATTCATTTTGTATATATTCTGTATATAATTATTACTATTATACATTCACATGTTACCTCCCCCACAGAAGCTCCTTGAGGAAGGAAGTGTTGCACTTATGACTTCATGTCCCCAGCATTTTGCTAGGTACCTGGCACATAGTCAGTAGTTATGGATTGATTGGATTGGATTGGATTGATTGAAATTCTTCTCCTTTGCCAGGTTAAGCATCCTCAGTTCTTTCAACTGATCCCCATATGACATGATCTCAAGTTCTTTCACCATCCAAGTCACCCTCCTCTGGATTCTCTCTAACTTATCAATGTCTTTCCTAAAATGTGTTGCTCAAGACTAAAGACAATACTCCAGAAGTGGTCTGATCACACCGCCTCCATTTTATACTTGTGAAACAGATTTTTTTAACTCAAGTACAAGACTTTACACTTAGCCCTGTGAAATTTCATTTTCTTGGACTTAGCCCAAAAGTAAAGCATGCCAAGATCTTTTTAGTTTGTGACTCTATTATCCAACATATTAGTAATCCCTCCCAGCTATGTCTCATCTTTAAATCTGAGAAGTGTGACATCTATGCTTTTCTGCAAGCCATTGATAAAAATGTTAGACAGTACAAAGGCCAAGTTCTTAAGGCATTCCACAAGAAATCTCTTTCCAAGTTGATTTTGAATTATGAATGACTGACTGCTCTTTGGTTCTGGCCATTGAACCAGGTCACACTCATGTCTCTTCTTTCATTTTGTCCAAAAAAATAACGTAAGAGACTTGTCAAATTACCTACTAAAATCTAGGCGATCTATATCTATGTTCTTGCTTTACTAGACCTTTGGGAAAGAAAGAAAGAAAGGAAGGAAGGAAGGAAGGAAGGAAGGAAGAAGAAGAGGGAGAAGAGAGAGAGAGAGAGAGAGAGAGGAGGGAGGAGGGAGGAGAGAAGGAAGGAAGGAAGGAAGGAAGGAAGGAAGGAAGGAAGGAAGAGGAAGGAAGGAAGGAAGGAAGAAGGGAAGGGAGGGAGGGAGGAGGGAGGAAGGAGGGAGGAAAGGGAGGGAAAGAGGGAAAGAGGGAAATTTGATACAGGCTATTTTTGATGACACCACACTGGTTCATTATGATGACTCTTTCCTTTTTTAAGTATTTATTACCTCTTTAATAATGCTTTCTATAATCTTTCCATGAATGAAAATCAAACTCATTCACATATATTTTGGAGACTTCATTCTCTTCACCATTTTAAAAATGAAGACATTTGGGGCAGCTAGGTGGTGCAGTGGATAGAGCACTGGCCCTGAAGTCAGGAGGACCCGAGTTCAAATCTGACCTCAGACCAAAAACTTGACACTAGCTGTGTGACCTGGGCAAGTCACTTAATCCTAATTGCCTAGCAAAAAAAAAAAGGCTTAAAAAAATAAAAATAAAATGAAGACATTTGTCCTTCCCCAGTTGTTTGGCATCTCTCCAATTCTCCATGATTTTTGTCAAAAATCATGGACAGTGACTCAGCAACCGCATTCACTAGTTCTTTCAGTATGCTGGGCCAAATGACTCAAACTCATCAAGAGAATAATTAGATGCTGCCTTGCTATTTCTTTACCTATCTTGTATTTCAATTCCAATGAGCTGTTTTTGTTGGGAAGGTTAGATTAAATGATCTCTTCTGAGCTCTTGTCAAACTGCAAGATCCAAATGAATCTCAGATCAAGTACAATGGAAGAGCGATGCTTTTGGCTGTCAGTTTCAGTCCAAAGACAATTCTGGCTTGGCACAGGATTGTCCGGCGTCATTATCCTACCCACCCTAAGCAGCAGTCTCATTCTTCCTTTTGACCCTTCTCTTTCCACCTATATAGCTTAAAAACAACAACAAACAAACAAAAAACACCTTTTTTGTTATCCTTAACTTTTCCTTGCCTACATGAGTTCATTCTGAGTAGCAGTACTGACGATATTCACATAGAACAATGCCAGGCTTTTCTACTCAGCCTCCATTACTTCATTACTCCATTACAGCTTTACTTCCATCTTCTGAATATATCTTTGTAAAAATCTAAGTTGATCTCTGGGGTTCTTTTGCATCCATATCCGTTTCTTAAACAAAAACAAAGCAAAACAAAACAAAAACCCTGCTCTTTCCTCTTCGCTGGAAGTGTTTCTTTGTGTCTTCAGAATTTTGTGTTTGAAAGGTTCCTCTGTCTTGAGCTGACATTAAGGACATTAAAAAATTAAGGACGTAGGAAACTACCTACCATTCCTCTGAATACTTTGATATCTGCTTTCCCAAAATGTAAGGTGTGTCAGACTATGCCTAACTTTCCTTTCCTTCACCATCACAAATTCTAAGTTGGAATGATCACATCTCAGCAAGTATCCTATTGTGTCTACCCTAGCATTCAGTTTCTTTTTATTGATGACAAATAGGTATAGAATAGAATTTCCATTCTAAGATTCTTCCACCTTTCAGAGGATAAAATTTTACTAAGTCAAGACAATATATTACTATTTTTTCTTCTTTGGGGAAAGACAGAGAAATAGAGACAAAGAAAAAGAATGATGGAAAGAACAAAAGAGAAGTCCTACAGATTCTCCCATCCATCTATTTCCCAAATTCTTTATCTGTTTCCTCCTTCTGTCCAGGGGGCCTATAATACATTCCAATTACAGTACCATTTTTGTTTCTGCCTCTATTATTATGATTATTGACCAAATGCTCCCTACAATGTACCCCTATTCTGATTACTGGCTTTCCTTAAATATATTATCTCACTATATGATATTATTATGCACTTCTCCCTTTTACATAGCCCATTTTTTCCAATCATAAGTTCTATGCCACCAAATTTCAATGGCATATATGACAAACTTGCCTCCTTGCATTAGCATCTCTGATTCTTTTTTGTCAATCATATTTTGGGTAATTTTTTATAGACATCTTTTCTTAGATTTCACCTCCTGTAAATTTCATCTCTGTTGCTATTCTTCCTACTCTGATAGAATGTAAGCATCCTGAAGACAGCATCTGTTTCATTTTTGTCTTTGTATCTCCATCACCTAGAATAATGATGGTACAGCATAAGTACTTAATAAATGTTTGTTAATTGGTTAATTGATTGCAGCTGCTCTCTATTCAGTCTAGCTTGAAGCACGTACATAGGCAGTTTTCTCCTTCCCCAGTTCTTTTTAGGTTTAACATCTAAAGATATGCAAGATTTCAGACGCATACATGCTTACCAGCCCTTGTTAGATATGCTCCATCTGTGACTAGGAGTTGGTCATTTCTATATTTTAAGCTGTATTCCTGAAATATAAATCCTATTTTTCAAATCCCATCTTTTTAACCATCTTCCCAAATCTGCCTTTCTTTTCTGTAGCACTTTGCTTAAATCAGTAGAATTACTGAAAACATCACCTATGGTCCTGGGATCTTCAGTTTCTCACCCAAGGCTTCATATAGTTAGCCATTCTTTCTAAAATGCTTTTGGTAGTATAATCCATGCCCATGCAAATCAGCAGAAATTGGTAGGTTTGAGAATTCTTGGAAAGCTTTTCCTCTTGTTCTGGATACATGACTCCAGGGAAGAGAAAAGACCGCTCTTGCTTTTTCCATCAGGTTGACAAATGGCTGCCTCAATATCCCCTATAAGGCAGTATCAATATACATCTCTTCTTCTCTTTCTTCCCTTGATTTGATGGTCTTTCACCTGACAGGAGCATCTTTCCTTAAAGGACAAGCAGCTGTTCCCTTTTCAGAGGACCCAGCCTCCTCTTCTTCAGGAAGTCTCACATGCTTTACTTAGCCACTAATATTTAGTGTTCCTTCTTCCCTTTTCACACTCTTCCAACCATCAATTTCCTGAAACAGGTCATGATTCCCCTCTGCCTCTTTAAAGCTTTTTTCTTCTTTGTTATCACATAGAAACACTTCTTTTTTTTTGAGAAAAATAAAAGAACACTTTAGTTATCTCTCTAGTAAGTGTGGGGAGTGGAAAGACATTCCTTGAGCCTCATTTCCTTCACTTCTACTCTACAGAGCCAGCTAGTGACACAGAGGATAGAGTGCTGGACTTGGAGACAGGAACCCTGAGTTCAAATTCAACCTCAGATACTTAGTAACTGCATGATGCTGGGCAAGTCACTTAACCTCTGCCTTAGTTTCTTCAACTAAGGAAGCCATACAGGGTTTTTGTGGTGATCATTTGAGATAACATTTATAAAAAGCACTTAACATAATGCCTGGCACACAGTAGCTGCTATATAAATGCTTATTCCTTTCCCCTTTTAGGAGGGAGACCTTCTTGCATTTTAAGCATAAATGATAATTACTTGACTGTGGTAACACAAACATTGCACACTCTGTGCAAGTCACTGAAAAATTATTGAAAAGGGGGAAAGGGAGAGAGGTAGGCAGGCAAGAAGGAAGGTGATCTGTAATCCTCATTGTGCCAGTGCCCTTCGGCCAATTATTTTCCCTATCTCTACTCAAATCAATTCAAGAAACACTTTTTTTTTGATGAGGCATTTGGGGTTAAATGACCTGCCTCGGCTCGCATGGCTAGTGTCAAGTGTCTGAAGACAGATTTGAACTCAGATCCTCTTGACTCCAGGATAGTGCCCTACCTACTGCACCATCTAGCTGCCCCTTGAAGAAACACTTCTTAAGCACTTACCATGTACTAGGCGTTGAAGATACAAAGACAAATGCAGCATAGATCCTTTTCTCAAGGAGCTTCCGTTCTAATGTGAGGAACATGTACACAAATAACTATGATACAGAGAGGAAGGAAGGGATGTGCCAAGCAAAGGGTGAGGGGATGTCTGAGGAAGAAATCCCTTTCCTCTGGAAAGAGAGGGAGGGCCAGGGAAGGCTACATTCTGGAGATGGGACCTGAGGAGGATCTGGAAGGAAGGGAGGGACTTTGGGCCATAGAGTTGTTGTGGGAGTCATCCATTCCAAGTATGAAGGATGACAGCAACATCTCAGGTCAGGACAAGAATGGGTGATAAGCAGGTCACTGAATTTCTCTCAGCCTCAGTTTCCTCATCTGTAAAATGGGGATAATGATAGCACCTACCTCACAGGATTATTGTGAGGATCAGCTAAGAGATATACTAAACATCTTGCAAATCTTAAAGCACTATAGAAATGCTAGCTGCTTTTATATGATTATATGATTATATGCGTTATATTATTTCATACCATACAAGATTTAAAATTCATATTTCCCAAGATTTATTTTATTGTATTATGGCAGACCACTTTGGTAACATAAAATATATAGTGTGAAATAAGACTAGAAAGTTGGGTTGGAGCCTGCTTGTGAGGGATATTAAAATGCCGGGGTGAGAAATTTAAGTTTCATTCAGGAAACAAAAGGAAACCATAGATTTTTTTTTCTTAGTAGAGGAGTGATGAGATCATATATTATACTTTTTCTGTAGATAATGAGAAGCCACTTGAATTTGGGGGAGGGAAGGGAAAGAAGCAGAGGAATGATGTCATCAAATGTTTACTCCTACCTAATTCACAGGAGGTTTGTGGGGACATCTAGTAAAATCATGGATGTGGAAGCACTTTGGGGTATGTATAAATGTCTGTATTTTCCAGGGAAAAGAGAGAACATCAGTGGCCTGACCTCCTAACTGTTCTGCAGAGTGACCCCGGCATCCTGGAATGCAGCAGAATGTGTTGGAAAGAACTACTAGACTTGGAGTCAGGAAACCTAGGTTGCCGTTTTGGTTCTGACATTTATTCCTATTAACCTTGGTCCCTGGGCAACTCACTTTCCCTTTCTAAATCCTGCTTTTAAAATCCATCTAATGGGGATAATGAAGCTTTTATCAAATATCTTCTCTTTTTTATTTAGTATTTTATTTTTTCCCCAATTACATGTAAAAACAATTTTCAACATTCATTTTTAAAATTGAGTTCCTAATTCTCTCCCTCCCTCCCCAACCCTTTCATGGAGAAGGTAAGCAATTTGATATAGGCTATGCATGTATAGTCATATTAAATATCTTTTCATAGGGAAACTGGGTGGTATAGGAGATACAGCACTGGGCTGAAAGTCATATCTGAATTCAAATCCTACCTCAGACACTAAACTAGCTGCGTTACCCTGGGAAAGAAACTGAATTTCTCCCAGCCTCAGTTTCCTCATCCATAAAATGGGGATATTGATAGTACCTACCTCACAGTTAAGATCAACTAAGAGATACATTAAATACCTTGCAAATCCTAATGCACTATATAAATGCTAGCTGTATTATTAGCATTCTATTATTTCATACCTCACAAGATTTAGATTTCATGTTTCACAAGATTTATTTTATTATATTATGTCATGCCTCACAGGACTAGAAGAGGTCCTCTGGTCTATCCCTTTATATTTCAGATGAGGAAACTCTCCAAGCCCCAAGAAGAAAAGCCATTTGCCCAAGGTCACCCAACCAGTGAGTAGCTGAGCCAAGATCCAAATGGGTCCTTTGACTCCAAATCCAGGTTTCTATCTGCTGTACCACTCAGTTGCCGACCTTAAGGCTCTGCAGAGAGATGAGCAATTATTCTTATAGCAGTCTGTTACTAGTTATATGATGGTCCCTCCTAACCTTTCCTACAGCTCAAGACTTATAGTTGGTTTTCTTACTTCCTTTAAGGTGTATGTTGAAGGTAGGAAGCACCAAGGATTGTTTTTGTGTTTGCTTCTTTGTTTGTTGAGGGGTGGAGGTGGGGACTGGCAAAGTTAGGTTGGAGATGAAATGGGATTGGATTGAAGAAGAGAGACAATATCTGGGGCCCATTTTCTTAAAGGCCCGAAACAAGAAAGAAATGATTCCCTTACCCCATACACCTTCTTGGCCCCTGCTTTAGCAGCAAACATAGAAAGGATGCCCGTGCCACTCCCAACGTCCAGCACCACCTTGTCCTTAAACACGTGCTTATTGTGGTACATGGAGTTTCTGTAGGTAAGTGTGCGCACCTCATCCTTCAGCATTTCCTGTGGCAGGAGAGAGAAGAGAGAAATCAAGTTTAAGGAATCCCCTGAGTAGACTGGAAGTAGATGTATAATCAAAGGACCCAAGTTTGAGTCCTAATTTCATAATCTACTTACTATTTTGTGACCTTAAACAAGGACACTTCACTTCTCTGGGCCTCAGTTTCCACATGTGTAAAATGAAAAGGTTGGACTAGATGATCTCTAAAGTCCATTCAAATAAAAAAAAACCCTATGATTTTATAATCCTATAGTGTTACCCTCTTCTTCTTCCTTTATATTATCTCACTTGGATATCTTATCAGATCCTTTGATTTCAATTAGCATCCTTAAGAAGATGATTCTGTGATACATATATCCAGCCCTAGTAACTCTCCTGAACTGGAGTCCCATATCATCAACTGCCCCTTGGACATCTCAAAAGGATGTCCCATAAACGTGACAAACTCCAGAATTTAACAAAGTTGACAAAGTTCCAAATTCCAAAACATAACTCATCATCTTTTCCTCCAAACCCTCCCATCTTTCCTGTTACTTCCAAGGACAGTAGGTGACTTCCCGGTCACCCAGGCATACACCTGCAGTGTCATTCTTGATTCCTTACTTCCATTCACCCCACAGATCAATCCTGTTGCCAAATCTTCAAAACATCTCTCAGGTGCATCCCCTTCTTTCTCCTCACACAGACAGAATCCTCATATAGGCCCTCATCGCCTCCTGCCTGGATTATTTTTTCTTTCCCTAATCCAAGTCACCCCCCCACTTTGATTCATCCTCCATTCAGCTGCCAAAGTGCTTATTCCCAAAGTGTGGGTCAGACCACATCATCTCATACTCAAAACTTGCTATTACCTCTGGGATCTGATTTGTATGAAAAGCTCTTCATATTCTGGACCCTTCCTACCTTTTCAGTTTTCTTATACTTTCCTTCCCACCATCGACTTTAAGGTCCTACTCCCTGTTCCTCCCATACTCTCCTGTCTCTGGGCCTTTGTAGTGACTGTCCCCATGCCTAGAATATTCTCTTTTCTCACCTCCCTGGTTTCCTTTAAGACAGCTCAAATCACACCTTGTACAGATATTTCTTGGTCCCTTTCCCCTCCCCAGTTCTTCCCTCTGAGATTATTTTCTATCTATACAACATGTGTGTATGTGTGTGTGTATGTATATATGTATATAATATGCGTGTATGTATGTATGTGTATGTATATGTATATATACATATATTATGTGCATATGTTGTATGTACATGGTTTAATTGTTGTCCCCCTTATTATAATGTAAGTTTCTTGAAAAAAGGGATCGTGTTTTTGCCTTTCTTCCACTTAATATAGTCTCTGACACATTTAATAAATGCTTATTGACAGACCATAACCTTTAAGGTCTCTCCCAGCTCCAAATCTATGATCCTATAAGCTTATTTATGTACCAGAAGGCATAGATATATTGACATACCTTATGAACTATAAATTTAATTACTATTGCAATAAAGGAGGTGCTACTCTGATGCCTTATCACGACATAGAGGCCACTCTGACTTCTTAAAAGCTATGCTGGGGGCATATCAACTCTGATACTTGCCCCAGGACAGACTGTGCTGTCTTGTCTTAGAACCAGTTTAACCAAGATTGGAGAGGTTTGCCACCAGATTGGCTGTGAGGAATTTTGGAGCTTCGGCAACTATCCTAGGTCAACTTTACCAAGGAATAGGGGTTTGTAAATGGCATTCTTAGAGTGTCCATACCAATGAAATCACAGATCCTTGAAGTCTAAGCAACATACCACATTTTTTTTTTTGGCTTTTTGCTTAGGCAATCAGGGTTAAGTGACTTGCCCAGCATCACGTAGCTAGTAAGTGTCAAGTGTCTGAGGTCAAATTTGAACTCAGGTCCTCCTGACTCCACAGCCATCGCTCTATCCACTGCACCACCTGGGTGCCCTGACATACCACGTTCTTCTAAGGAAGTATTTGCCAAGTAAAGACTCATACATGACTTCAGCAAGGTCCTCCAGAGATCACCCTTCTACCACGAATAGAGATTCCATCCCGTGAAAAATTGTCCAGTCTCCTCAGAACTCAGGTGAATGGTGTGACAAATCTTGATTTCCAAGGGCTGATGATGCAACATATTCCTCACTTCTCAATGTAAAGATAGTGGGCTACAGATGTGGAATACTGCATGCTGTCATCTGTGGCTTCCACAAGACTTTGTTTGCTTAACTGTTTCTCTTTTTTACAATAGAGGATGGGAAATGGAGTTTGGGAAGTGATGGTAATGAGAAGGGAGAAGCAACAATAAAGCAGTATTTGAAAATCAATAAATACAACTTAGTCAGATTCCAGCTCTGACACTAATTAGCTATTTGCCCCAAAATGACTTGTTTCACCTTTCAGAGCCTCAGTTACCTTACCTTGGACTAGATGATGTTAAGATACCCTATAAAGAAGCTCAAATAGTCTGTGAGTCTATAAGATTATAGATAGAGCACTAGACCTGGAGGATCTGAATTCAAATCCAATTTTGGACACTTACTAGCTGTATGACCCTGGCCAAGTCATTTAACTTGCCTCAGTTTCCTCAACTATAAAATGAGGGTACTAATTACCTACCTCACGGGGTTGTTGTGTGGATCAAATGAGAAAACATTTATAAAGTGCTTATCACAGTGCCTGACGCATTGCATAGTAAGTATGTATGTTCACTCTGTCCCATTCCCCCTTCTCAGAAATTACAATGAATCTACTTTGTATATTTTCTATATTTACTTATGTGTATTCATATTGTTTCTTTCTGGTAGAACCCAAGCTCTTTAAGGATGAGGATTGTTTTAATTTTTGTCCTTTAATGCCCAATGCCTAGCCCTTTGCCTGGAAAATAGCAGATGCCTAATAAATGCTTGTTAAATTGAACTGAAGCTGATTACTCAAGAAGGTGGTATAATGTTTGCATGTGATTTCTTTTTTTTTTTTTGCTTGTTTGTTCTGAACAGATGTTCCACCACTGAAGATTAATTAGGAGAGGACAGGGACTATTTCCTGCCCCATCACAGAGCACAATGCTTAGCACATAGTAGATATTTAATAAGTGTTTGTTGATAATTTGATTGACTGATGGCCTTTCAACAGGCAAAGAGACCAAATGACTTGCTTTGATTCCTTCTTTCCTGAGATTTATGATTTTTAGGCAGGTTTTGTATATAGTTTTAGACAGATTCTTTCACCTTATTTCTTTCTAGGAGCTGCAGATGTGGGTGGTTTAACAATACCCTTCCCACTCCTCCCAAATACCTGGGAGGCTAACCAGGAAGAGGTTTAGGAGATAACAATAGGCAGATAGCTCCATATAGGAGTGTGAGACATATTTCCTTTTATTTTCATTATATTCAAGAAACTATGTGATCACAGTACAATAAGAAAATGAGTCCTATGGATATGGGGAGAATTGTGAAAAAGAGAGAAAAGAGAATATAAACAGATAGGTAGGGGCTCATGAGCTGAGTATAAACCACAGATTTTATATTTTAATATTTTGGATATTATTCTATTTCACTACCCCCAAAATTAATTCTTGGACCCATCCAACAGCACCATATAGAGCCACAGGCTTGACAATGTGGAGAATAATCTAGGCCTCTGTAGTCTGGGACCTTTGTGGTGGCCAAAGGGCATTCAATAAACATTTAAGGAGGTCAATTTTATGCATGCAGCTGAGATGCTCTTGACAATTGCTCTGATGGCCAACTCAAACAGTGCACTCAGAATCAGAGAATTTGGAAATGACTTATCCAGCCCCACCCATACCTAAAAAGGATCTACATCCAACATGCTGGACAAGGTAGGCCTCCTATGAAAGGGAGTCCAGCAATTCTACAGGCAGCTTATCCCATGTTTGAACACCAGTTTTGCTGACATCAAGCCTAAGTTTAACTTTTTTCAACTTCTGCCTACTGTTCTGGTTCTTCCTGATGAGGCAAAATTGCATGAGTGTAATGCTTTATAAAGAGTTATCATCCTCCTATCTACTCATACCCCCCCACATACGTACCACACACTCATACACAGTACACACACATTCCCTCCCCCCACATCCACATTCCCCTTGCACATGCACACAAATACATACCACACACGTCTACCCCCACACCTGAACACACATATACTTTTTTTCTCGAGGCAAAACAACCCTAATTCTTTCAATTACTTCTCATATGACTTCATCTCTTCACAGGGCCCTTCACCAGCCTGATTTCCCTCCTCTGAAAGGCTTGAACTCAGAACCAATAACAATACTCCAGATGAAGTCAGATTTAGGCAGAGGAAGAGTCTATCATCCTGCCTGGCTCCAAGCAACTCAAGTTTGATTGAGGGGTTTTTGGCCGATGACTTAGGCTGAGAATGCTGTTCACAAAAAAAACCCAAATCTTTTTTTTTTTCAGAAAACCTCTAACTATGCCTCCTTTATTTTGTATTTGTGAGGCTGATTTTCCAGACCCGAATTTGGACCCAAATTATCCTTCCCAAATTTCACCTACTAGATTCAGCCCAATGCTATAGAACGTTTTGGATCCCAATTCTGTCATCCACTGTGTTAGCTATCCCTCCCAGCTTTGTGTCATCCACAAATTTAATAAGCATTCCATCTATGCTTTTATAGAAGTACTTTATAAAAAGAATAGATCTCTGGGATGTTCCACTGGAGATCCCTTGTATGTCATTTAACAACCCTTCAAGTATGGCCATTAAATCACTTCTAAATCCATTTAATTATATTATCAGCAAATCCACATCTCTCAATTTCCTCCATGGGAAGTCTCAGATACTTCATTAAGTGCTTTGCTAAATAATGACAAGAGAAAAAGATTAAAGGTATAAAGATAGATAGAAAACGGGGGAAAAAACTATCCCTATTTGCTGATGACATGACAGTTTACTTTGAAAATCCTAGGAAATCAGCCAAGAAACTAATTGAGGCAATTAATAGCTTCAGCAAAGTAGCAGGTTA